CCAGTCTAATACACCCATGATTTCATATCCGTTAATGCTTATTGCTTTGCTGAAACTGTTGCTGATTACGGCGGTATAAACATCCAGTATAATTAATCGCTACACGAAGTCGCGTATGGTTACGAAGTGATGGAGTATAGTTTTTGCAACTCCGATCGAACTCACCGTCCGACACGAGCCGAAAATTACGTGTCGCGTGTGCGTCAGTTTCATCAGTTCAACTTCGATTTAAAAACAAAACATCTCCACTCGCAAAAGATGAACGAAGACGTGTCAATATACAACCCAAACAGCACACAGCATTGCGCCGATATAGGATCAAATATGAAAAACTGCGCCGTTACCATTTTGGTCCAGCCAATATCTGTGAAAAAAAGGATGGGTCGCGGCGACGCCATCCTGACATACCGTAGGCGATGCCGTTTTTGGTTGAGCGTCAAGATTCCCGCATGAATGGCCTATGCCGGCGCGGTATGTCTATTTCTTAACCACCTAAAATCCGACGTTAAAAAATAAAATAAAAACAAGATGAAGCAAAACGGAATCTGCTTACTTTTAACCAGAGAAAGACCTCCTGCGCTGAACCACTGAACAAACTATGGGCCGTGGCGCCCTCATTTCGTGTATTACAAACTCACCTGACTGGGCCTCGCACTACTTATAGCACCTTCACTGAGATTTTATTTTTGTGTATAGTACTGACGAAACAATTCCGCAAGACAATCGAAAGTGCCGAATTTATGACACCCCGGCTAGAGTGCGCGATCCTTAGTTGACACCAAAATATCTAGCCTCCCGACGCTTTTTTTTTGTTTTTTTTTTCTTTTTTCGTACGGGTGAAATTGCATCTCTTGTTTCATGCGTTCGAATTTGTTTTGTGTTATTTATTTCGTGATTTTGTGGTCGGCATCAGAGCACGCACGCCACTGCGTGAAGCAAGTCCTGACGTGCCCATTTTGCGACCCTCCTTGGGCAACCCAGGTGGCTTATACAAAGCCGCAGAGGGAGATTAGCTGCTTTGTCCACCCCTCTTTGACCTCGTCTTCTGATAAGCCTCCACACCTTCTTTTGTGTCTTCGTGTGGCTGTGAGCGAGTGCGAAGGCCGCTTCTAGCAAATCAGAGGGGTGGTGCGTAACACGTGACCGTTCTCCGTAGGACAGGGACGCTTGGACTATAATATGTCAAGTGACTCGCTCCGACGCGCTGATGGGCTCACTGGGGCCGAAGTCTTTGCCGTATTCCAAATTACGGTGAGTGTAGGGGCCACGTAGGTCCAGTTTCTAAAAAGCTTCCGTCAGGCGTCAGTGTTCTTCTGTTTTTCGTGCGTTGCAGTCGCAGCCGTGGTTTTTCGTCTTGAACGGCCGGAATACGTTCATACTAATTTTTTGGTAATATTTGTGAATTTCGTCGGAGTCCATGGAATTATTGTGCTGTGTTTGTTGGACGCGTTTCGACAAAGGACTGCTCGTCGGCGCTCGTGAGACTTCCGCTGATTGTGATCGACCGCCTTCATCCTCGACATTGTGTTTGCGTAGTTTTGTGCTGCCCGAGTCGGATTGTGCATCTATCACGACAGAGAGCTGCTCATCGGCGACGGCGAGAGTTCCGTTGAATGTGAGCAACCGCCTTCATCCTGGACGTTGTGTTTGCGAATTTTTCTGTGGTGCCCGAACCGGATTATGCAACTATCACGGATTACATGAGATCGGTGTTTTATTTGTAAGTACTCTGCAAGCATGCTTCTGGTAGTAGTCCTGCTTCCGTCTCAATAGACCACTTTACTGTTTACAAGCATGAACTGCTGCTTACGCCTCAATCAACTCCCGGTCGTTCCGTCTCTGCCAGCCTGTCGAGTTTTGCCTACGTCAGCAGAGCTAGAAAGCATTAAAGTAAGTTTAGGCGAAGGAAAGCCTTATTTAAAGTTTGAGTGCATTTATTTTAAGCCTCTAAGAATTTTGTAGCTTTGTCACAAAAACTTAACACTAGGTCACAAATGCCAGCATTTGAGGTTTGACATTGGTTTCTCGCGAATTCGCGAAAGAAGAATTTGATGTCCATGCACGTTTTTTTCTGGATTCAAAAAATAAAGTGTTCCACATGTTTGAATTTGTTAGCAATCATTTCTCCGTAAATACGTTTTGATGAAGTGCTGTGTTACACATTTAGTATAACTTCTTGTAGCTGAATGAAGTGAGAGTTACTGCGCAGGCGAGCTGGTGAAGGATCATGGTGAAAAAAACCCAAGGCTAGGACAAAAAATCGGGACAACACAACACGTCTCAAGACATTTTGAGACAGTATTGTGTTTTCCCAATTTTTTTGTCACTAGTCTCGGGGTTTACCCACCATGCTCTTCTAGCTGCAGTACACGTTTTTGGTAGGGTGTACTGCTGCCATCACACCCTAATAAATAGGTGTAGAGCAGAATCACTCCTTTCTGTATAGGGTGTAAGTGATTACACCGGTTTTTGAGGGAGTGAGAAGTAACACCATTTTTCTAGGGCGTTTTTGTACACCAATAAGGGGGTGAGTTGTGACCCATGCCATTTACACCAATAAGGGCGTGAAAATGTTTATTGTGTAGGGTGGGAAGCCAGCCTGGTGTCATTTTGTAAGGACTTTTGCTATGTGACCTCACTAACAGAGGAAACAGATCAGCCTGGTTTGGAGTGCTAGGCCGACCTCTCCGCATGTATGAAAAGACGGATGCCGATACAATGAAGAGCTTCTTATTAGGGCAGGCCGGAGGCAGGGCCTTGGCGCGAAATGGGACACTGGCGCCCAAGTCTGCACTCGGCGGTTTTGCTTTTCTGTTCTACCTTCGTTTTGAATCAGCAAGCTCCAGCCCGAAGGCCGTTTTCCCAGACAGCGCAGTAGCGATGGTACCACGCAGGTCTCATCTGCCATGCACACACTGTAAAACATATTGTAAATAAATGTTGTTAATAAAAAGAAGAAAACGAGGCGTAGGTCAGTGGCAACGCCCCGCTTCACACTTAGCGGACCCAGGTTCGATTGCCGCTTGGGGCGGGAGATCTTCAAGGATTATTCAACATTGACGACGGACACCCTACGGCCCACAACGGCAACCATAATAACTACAACTGCGCTTTAAGAAAACGGGAGGAGAAGTGAAAACCAAAGCTATTTTTTTCCCTGTCGCCAGAGAAAGGGACCGAAGTTGCTCGGTTCCTCCATTTCATCAATTTACCTGCCGCGCTGTCTAGTGGCGAGTGAAACAGGGACGAAAACTCCTCCGTGTTCACGCCAGTAGCGGCCGTATGGTGGCAGTAGAACTCTATGAACTGCCCCAGTGTTTAGAACGCCAACCTTTCGTGATATTTTGACCCTTAAAAAGGGAGTAGAGAAGGCTTGCATTAGGGATCAAAAAGCCAGACCCCAACTTTGTCGAAATAAAAACGGAAGTTCAGGGGATAAGCAATTTAGCGTTCGCGGTTAACAATGCATCGGTAGAGGAGTAGTTCTACACATACACAAATTTGATAATGATTTCTCGGTTTGTAATTTTTGTCATAGCTAATATACGGGACGTTCGATTTTAAATCGAACAGATTTTTATAAAAAGAGGCTACGGCTGCTACATTAATTCCGTTCCTTCCCTGTGTGTTTTGGTGCTCAGCGTGCGTTAGATGGGAGAGTAGTCGTCGCACTAATTGAAATATTAACTAAGATCTTATTATTCTTACAGCCTTGATCATAAATCAGCGTCAATAATGCATTTTAACATAATTTTTCAAATAATAGTAAAATTTAAATAATGAATTTTAGTTACTTAATTTGCTGTGGCATTCCGAAACCTGCAGGATTGAGTGATGCAAAAAAATTCAATGTGAGCATTTAAAAAAAATATCTAGTAGAAGTAATACTTGGTCAGCCTCTACGTGTTTATGTGACGAATGACGCAGTCACCGGGCAATTCGAACTCGAAAAATACAGCCCCCACATGTAGCGAGCGTGTGAACGTGGTAAGCGTAGAGGAGGGTGCACGATTGGTTTGGCTTCTTTGTTGTTGTTATTTATGTGACATTTTGTGTATATCTGTGAGTGCATTGTATCGTATTCTCCAGATTTTTTGTGCATTTATAGCTTGAATGGCGAGGTAGCTACCAGCGATGCAGTTCGCTGTTAAACTTTTCTCGTAACCTGAAAAAAACACCGTTTTATTTTTCACAAAATTTCAGAACAGAAACCCGCTTTCTTTTACGAAATTTTTTCTTTTTTTAAGAAGAAACTGTTTTGTTTCACAAGCTTCCAGAACAGTAACGCGTCTTTTTTTATTTGCCAAAAAGAGTTATTTTTTAAAGAAAGCTTTTTTTTTTTTTTTTACTAAACTAGGCAACAGGAAATCACTAATTTTATAGAAAGGGGAGGTACCAAAAATATTGTGTTTTAACAAAAATTACGGAATCCGAGACAAACGGTGGTGCGTGAGCCAACATTAACGCGAATTCAGATATCTTCACCAGGCACCTAAAGTCTCCATAAAAAAAGGGCGTCTAATGCATGCAGTCATGACTGAACAATAAACAGGCGTAATATTGCGAATAATATTAGCTATAACACGGCAGCCACGGCCATTCCTTACCCCCAGGACAACATAGCAGGAGCACTAAAAAATACCGAGCCTTCCACACCTACCCTGTACAGTTGAATTGCTCTTCCAGGTTACGATAACGAAAGAGGCACGCAAAAAAAGCCTGTGAAGCAAAACATCAGCAAGTGCTGCGGTGGCGTCTATTTTGCGCCTAGCAGACTACGGAGAGAGAGTGTGATCGCCATCTGGAAGAGTAAATCCGCCGCACAGGGTATAGGGGGCTATGCACGGTGTGTCGGAGTGCGCCTGCTATGTGGCGATGGGGTACGGAACGGCCATGGCTGACATGTTCTAGCTAATAGTGTCCGCGATAGTACATACCAACTACTACTGTGCCACTTAAAGATTGCGTTTCTATGACTTTGGCTACGTTCCCTGAAGGTGATGATGAACCCGATGCTCCTCACTTCCCTGGTGTTCGCCTCACTGGGATGCGTGGATACAGCCACCGTCAACGAGCAGGACGGGGGATACGAGCACGTGCTGGTTGCCATCGGGAAGGACGTCGCGTACCACGGAGACATCCTCGTAAACCTAAAGGTATCCGCCAGTGTTTCTTCTAACCTAGTATAAAAGAACATCAGTTAAAAACGCCGTTCTTCTTCGGTGTTACTGGTATTTATTTATTTTTGTCTACACGGTTCATTGCCGGCTGTGCACCGTGGAAACCTCTGCTTTGAATAAGTGTACCACGAAAGAAAATGAACTTTGGTCAACATTGATGCACGCCGTTGACCCACAAATGTTCAAAGAACCCCGCCCCTCTCCTCTCCGGAGGACGACGACGAAGCGCTCGTTCTAACGGACGTGTTTTTCCTAGCTCCGCCGACATATATTTATAACTCCGAGTTTAAAAGGCACTCGCGCCCGGAAAGGGCCCCATGGATCAAGGGCAACCCTCCGCCACCCTCCGACCGTCGATTTTGGATCCAGGAGGGACCAGTTTGGTGAATATGGAACCCGATACTATGGACACCTCGCTAAACCTAACGTCTGGAATGCGAGACACGGAAACTCAGGCTGCCGCTACAGGGACAACCGCGACCACGGCGGGCCCATCGACGGAAGGCCTTCAAATCGTACTGGACCTGAACACCCTCGGCAAATTGAACGAATTTAGAGTTGCGAGGGAAGATATCGGAAGGCTTTTTGTAAGCTTCTTGACCTACCTCGCTACCGCACAGCAAGGAAAAGGCGCGCAACCAGCCGCAGCAGAAAAGGTGAGCTCTAGCCTTGGACAAGAATATCCCACGATAGCTCAAGCAGCACAATTGACAAAGACCCCGCTAAAGAGCCAGAATGCTAAACCTAACGGGACAGAAGCCACCCCTTTGGCGGAAAATATCGAGGACAACTCCTGGACACTAGTCCAGAACAGGCGCCGCCGTAAACGCTCGCTGACATCAATCGAAGAACCCGAGAAGAAAGCCGCTGCTATGTCCATCGATGAGAGGCAAGGCAGTAAAACTACCAGGGCCATTGTCCTGAAGCCGGTATGTAAGGAGGCAGTAAATGGCTTCAGAGCCAGGGACATCAGGCAGGCCGCGGAAACGGCAGGAATCGAAAGCCAAGAGGATTTCAAAATCCAGTATCAGACTAAGACCAACACCATTACGCTCACTACGCAAGACGAAGGTACGGCAGAAAAGCTGCTACGGCTTAAGGCAATAGAGAAGAACGGCAAGCAGTACACAGTTTGCCCCTACAGAGCAATGGAGAAGAACCAGATCCGCGGTGTCATATACCCGCCGGGAGACAACAGCGAAGAGACACCAGAGACGCTGCTCGCAGACATGAAATGCGACAAAGCAAGGATTATCGCTGCCCGACTTATGGGTAAAGGCACAAATGCGGTGTTAGTTACCTTCGAAGGTAACAAACTGCCCAAGAGGGTCGTCTTTTGCCAAGCAATCTTGAGCGTGAAAGAATACCGCCCGCGCCCGATCGTGTGCTTTAGCTGCCACGAGCTCGGGCATAAGGCGGATGTCTTCCCTCGCAAGGAACGAAGGTGCGGTCAGTGCGGGAACGTGCACGACGAAGGAATGGACGAGTGCGACCGAGAACCAAAATGTCGTAACTGCGACGGCCCACATCCGGCCACCAGTAACGACTGTCCAAAAAGAAGAATTCCTGACAAAATGAAGATGACACCCAAACCTCCGGCGCAAAATAAAGAGAGTTACGCTGCAGCTGCCAAGTCCATCACGGAGCGACCCAAGGCATCGGGGAAAAACGATGAAGACGAGCTTCCCACATGGATACCGGACTGGGCGAAATCTACCCAACGACAACAGCCAAGCCAGCAGGCGTCAGACTTTGACGCCGAGAAAGAGATGAATAAACTCAAGAACGACGTACACATCGGCTTCAAGATGATCTTCGAGGCCATCGGAGAGATCAAGAAGGAGCTGGCGTTGCTGCGACATGGGAAGTAACTCCCATAGCAGTACAGGACAGGCCACCACGGAACAGACCCGCATTGTCCAATGGAATTGCTGCACATTTTCGACCAAAAGTGCAGAGCTGAGGTTGAGATTCGAGAGACAGCCGCCCCCGGATGTACTCCTTCTTCAAGAAACACGAACCCCGAACCTAACGCTCCCCTGCTATAGTTTCTACACGAACCCTACCATTGTAATTACCCCAAGGCCGAGCGAAAGGAACCCAGAGACGAAGAAAGGCTGGGCAGCAGTAGCAGTCCTGCGGCACATACCACATACTCAGCTCGATACGGCGTCACTTTGCAATGGCAACAGAGAAGTGGTAGCCGTAAGGCTCAGTCACAAACGGAAGAGGATGACTTTAGCCTCCGTCTATATAAGACCAGGAACGGCAACGGAAGATGACAAGGAAGTAACGGCATGGATAGGCGAACTTGTCGGTCTAGCCGAAGGGGATCCGATTGTCATAACCGGGGACTTCAACGCTCGACACAAAGATTGGGGGTACTCCAACAGCACGAGGAAAGGCCGGCAAATTAAACACGCAATGAAAACTGCGGGCCTTACACTTCGCAACGAGCCGGGAACCAAGACAAGGATTGGAATGCACTGTAGGCAAAAGGACTCCACCCCGGACCTCTCCTGGGCCACTGCAAGCCTAGTGCTCGACTGGTCAACGTGGAGAGACAACCTTGACGGTGACCACTTTCCGGTAGAAATGAAGATTCATCACGGACAACGCAACTGTGGCAAAGAACAAAGACCAGTAGTCAAATGGGATCGTTTTAGGGAACTGCTTGAGACAGAGGACAGCCGAGACATCGAGGAGTGCATTCGGACGGCTCTGAGCGAAGCGAAGACGAAAGTTCTAGTAAAGCCTGGAGCCCCAACACCGGACAATCACCTAGTAAACCTCTGGGCCAGCCGTCTACAAGCACTGCAGCGGTACCGAAAGAACAGGACGCTGCATCTAAAAATCAAGCTCAAACGAGCAGCAGCGAAAGCGAGGCAGTACTCTAAACAGCTCGGTCGCGAGAGGTGGAGGACCCATTGCGGGTCCTTTAACGCACGAAACGGGTTGGGAAGAGCTTGGAGAACTTACAAGGGACTGAACGGAGCAAAGCGCAAGACAAGAAACGCTGCGCAGAACCTGGCCCTCAAGCTCAATATCAGCGAGGCAGAGATGGCGATCAGGGCTGGAGAATTGTTCTTTCCCCAAGAAGATAGCGCAAACCAGAAACCGGTTGCAATGAACACCCGCACGCCAGAAGAGGAAGGAATGGAAGACCCACTAAATATGGGAGAACTAATCGAGGCAATCTACACGGCGAAGACCGGTAGTGCTCCTGGCCCGGACGGGGTAACGTACCAAGCTCTCAGAAACCTACCGGAAGAATCGAAGCAGAAACTTCTCGACAAATGCAACACAGTATGGGAAGAGGGTATGCTTCCGAGAGCCTGGAAACTCTCGTGGGTCACGCCAATACCCAAGCCCGGCAAACTGCTTGATCGCATTGAAAATATGAGACCTGTATCTCTAACATCTAATATCTGCAAGACGATGGAGAAAATCGTGCTCAGAAGGATACAATGGTATTTGGAAAAACACGAACACCTGGATCCCCGGCAAACGGGCTTTCGCGAAGCGATGGGGACACAAGATAGCCTCAGGTTAATCTATGAGGAGGTGCTGGCTGAAAAAGACAAACAAGACCCACGGCTCGTGGTCGCCCTGGACATACGCAAGGCGTTTGATTCAGTGCCGCACTGGGCGGTCGTCCGGGAGGCAAAAGCATGCGGCACCCGTGGAAGAACTTTGAACTTTATACGAGACTTTCTGCGCGACAGGAGGTTCCAGGTGAAGATCGGAGAGACCATGGGCCCAGAAACGCCGAGTAAAAGAGGAGTGCCCCAGGGGGCAGTTCTATCGCCGACGCTTTTCAATATGGTAATGGCGGGTCTCCCAGCTCGGCTTCGAGTCATCGAAGGGCTGGGATTCACCATCTATGCGGATGATGTGACGCTCTGGACCCGAGGGGGATCCCTGGGGGAACAAGAGAGCACGATGCAGCGGGGCATAGATGAAGTAGCCACCTACCTGGCAGAGGTGGGAATGGAAGCGTCACCAGAGAAAACGCAATATATGATGGTCGCTCGCCCTAGGGACCACAGGAAAGGAATAGCAGGCTCAGTACGGCTAGAACTCAATGGACAAGAAGTCGGCAAAACGCCACATATCAGAATCCTTGGAGTCACCTTCGAGCAGACGGCAAGAAGCACAAGATGGATCCCGGAGATGGAAAAGGCGTGGGCTCAGGGTCTCAAGCTCATAAAGAAAACAACAAGCAAGTCCTGGGGAGCAGATGAAAAGGCTCTGCGTATCCTCACAGAGGACCTTCTCACGTCACGAGCACTGTACAGTTGCAACTGGCTGAATCTCAACCAGACGCAGTGGAAGAAACTCGAGAGACTTAACAACCAATCCAGGCGAGTAGTCATGGGCCTTCCCCAATACACGCCACTCGAAATGCTAGAAAGGGAAGCACAAATGAACAACATAAAAGACAGGGCCGAAACCCAAGCAATCGCTCAGTTTCAAAGGCTAGAGCGCACTAAACATGGACGTAGATTCCTGCAAGACCTGGGATACGAGACAAGCAACCAGCCGCCATTGGAAGAGGCACTACCTCCGTGGCAGGACGAGATGATAACGGATCATCGGCCTCTTCCTCAAGTTCTCAACCAAGGGAAGAGGGCTCGAGCCGCTAAGATGCACGCGACTTGGTGCGAAACACATGCGCCAAACGAAGAAGTACGGTACACCGACGCCGCAAAGAACGGTGACAAAGTGACATCTGCATGGCACGACGCAAGGAGAGGCAGGACACAAACCGAATCACTACCGTCGGGCACGACGGTGAGGGAGGCCGAATTGAGGGCGATATTGGCGGCGGCCCAGGACATCGCAGGAAAGAGCGCGACGGCACCTCATGCCAGAATTTTTACAGATTCGCAAGCAGCGATTAACGCTACACGCAGCAGCAGACCAAAGGGCCGAACAATAAAAAAGATTAAGAAAGTGTCGACGGAGCTTCGCAT